AAAAAAAAAAAAAAAAAAAAACTAACAGCAAGAACACACATAGTCAGAACTGAAAGGACACTGACGTGTTGGAGAAGGCTATGTAGCACAGATGGTGGATCAAAGCTTAGCAACACTAAAAGATGAAGAAAATTGTACAAATCGTTTGCAAACTGCTGGGAGGACAATTCAAAAACCAGGAAAAAGACATGAAGAGTAATTCACAAAGCAAAAAATGAGAAAGAAATGGAACACTAATAAAAACAAATCTCTTAGTTTTATTAGCAATGAGGGGAATTGCCATATGAAGATGTGAGTACATTTCACTGCTCTGCTTGTCAATGATTTGAAAAGAATGTCTAGGGTTGGCTCGCAGAAAGGAGGAAACAGGACTGCACCAATTTTACTGGTGGTTTTATAATATTTATGATGGGCACTTTGTCAATTAAATATCAAAAGCTTTTGAGCTCATCATTCAAGTCTAAAACTTTAGTCTGAAGGCATGCTTAGCTTGGGGTCAAAGTTACATGAAAACAATCTGCAGGGATTGTAATAGTGAGCTGGCATCACTTTCTAGCATAGTGAAAATTAGGGAGTGATTTAGAAGAAAACCTTGACATAAGCATTAACTGCTGAAACTGTATATAACAACTTATTAACAATATTAATAATAAGTAGGAATAATACTAGGTAGCAAAAAAAGTGGATATTTATTTTATGATTGCATGTTTGAAAGATCAGAATATCTTCTCCAGAAAAATCTAGAGGGTTATATTAAAAAAAATTATTTTTGGATAGTATACTATCCAGTTTTTTTATTATTATTATTATTTTTAATTTTACTTCTGCTTGTTTGTATTCTCTAATTTTCCTATAAGGGATAGACATTAATTATGCAACAGAAGAAAATTATAAAAATCTTTGAAAATAGATTTTGCAGTTACTAAGTCTGTGACTAAAATTGAAATTTAAGCACAGCTTGTTCCTCTTTGTGTATATTTTCCATTTTCCCTGGAACACTAGATTGATAAATTGAATTTAATTTCATATTTTGTCTCCTCTTCTGAAGATGGTTATAATTTGACTATATGGTAAACACAGATTTTTTTAATTAACTAGAAAATATATGAGTTTTATAATGTAAGTGTGTTACTTTTATCAGACAGAACCCTCCAAATACTCAAACCTTTTAGTTTAATTTCAATTATTAGCAACATGGCCTTGGGCAAGTCTCTGAAACTTGTGATATTTCATTTTCCTTTCTCATCATGAAAATGGGCATAAAAATAGCCAACACACCTACCTCAACGGCTGTTTGAGGTATGAATGACTGAGGTTTTATAAATGGTCAAAAAGCTAGATAGTGAAGAGGGTCTATGCTTAGCCATTTTTCTTCTTTGCACTTTTCTAATCTGTGACAAGTTTCCTGTGTTTTTGGGGATGCCATCAGTCATATTCCCAAAGTAAATGCATCCTCAACCCTGGTGGGTCAGCCCTCACCTGCCCAAATAGCCCCATTCTTGGTTTTAAAGGACTCTGCTGGGCTTGAATGTCTAAGAGTCATCAGCCCTTCCACTTTCTTTCTGCCTGCTGAGCCGTCTTTGAAGCTCAGGCTGTAGGAATGAGGGAGATTAAAATGAAATAAAAAGCTTGTATGCATGAAGATGGCTTCCCCACTTCTATTTCTAAAGGCAAGGGATGCATGTGCCGAATTTAGGCAAACACAATCCTGATTATTTACATGGCATAATGGAAGTAAACACTCAAGGAGAAAGAAACCTGATGCTTTTACTCAGCATGATAGAAACCATTATCTCATGTTTCTATGGAAAACAGTCTCAGCCGAGAAATTTGGTAACTCAGTAGGCTATTAATAGGATGTGGAATGTGATTACTCCTTTTGGATGACTTCAATATGTAATTACTTTTAGGAGCTAGTAGAAAGAACTCTATTAAATGATAATTATAGGACTGTATTTGCTTTAAGGTTTTGTAATAGCTCTAAACATGGGAGTTTTCATTAACTGTTTGCCATAGTTAATAAAGTCATTTTTCTGAAAATGTAGCAATTCCCTGCAAAAGTGGTAGCTCCATATAGGATTATTTCTTATAGGATTGGGCAAGGGGTGCGGATCGCAGAGTAAGTGGGCTCGTCTATGGTAATACAAATAACGTCCTTGGAAATACAGGTGGCACCTCAGAACTGTGACGCAGAGACTCCCTAGAGAACAATATTTTAGTATGATGCTTTCAGAAGGTAAACCACAGGCAAACGCTACTGCACATAGACAAAGAAAGATGACAAGGCAGATGACAGAGGTGACGTTGGCACTGCAAGAGAAGCTGGAGCCACGCACGTGCTGTTTCATTGGCTGTCCTGAGATAAACAGGCATGCTGCAGGAACGCCCCCCCGCCCCCCCCCCCCCCGCCAGTGAGCCCACAAGTGCAAGTTGTGGGAGGATATGAACACACTGACAAAATGTGGGCTACACATATTTGAAACAACAGATAATAGAAGAAGAAGTTAGGGAATAAGATCAGGTGAGAACATACCACTATTCCTGACAACCAGGTAGAGCCATTCACTCATGATTCATAAAGCTGATAATGGATACTGACATCTTTTGTTTTAAGTGTCTTCCTCAGCATAAAACTGACATATAGCTAAGCTAATAAAGCAATCTATCAATCCAGGTGGGATGAGAAGATAATCTGGACTTAATATTCTTCCCAGAGTGCAGGCAGGAATTTTCATGAACACCAATAAGAAGTACACATGCAGGTATTTTGGAAACAATGCTATGGCACCTGGTTCAATTCAGCTCAGTAGGTACTTATTAAATACACGTGAGATGCCGGGGTCTATCTTCTTTGGAGAAATCCACCTTTAACAAAGGAAATCCCTATGCGATATACATGTACCACCAGAGGTGCGTGCTCTGCTAATTGAGATCTACTCATGTATTCAGTGCTATGCAGAATTATTGCTTGAAGGGGCTTAAGGTGCTAACATGTGCACATCAAGGGAAGCCAATAGGCAAAGGGAAAAATCCTAGATTAAATGCAAAACTAAAAAGCTCTAAGTAGCTTTCAAAATTTCAAAACGATATAAATCATTTACAAAGTGAATTAGCTTGGTTTGTAAAGCTCCTTTACTACACGTCTCTCCCTATAACTTCCTTCACATCCAGCTTCTCAAGAGCTAGACCACTGCAGAGAGCAAACTTAGGGAGAGAAATGTCTCTGTCCTCGCTCTTTGCATGTTTTACCCCACACACTCATTTGATATGTAGTGGATTCGTAAGTGCCACCATGAAATGCTCCAATCCACTTAACAAATAATATTAGAGTATGTCAGTCCCCATCCCCTCAAATCTTCCTCATGTTCAAAATGGGAGTAATAGTAACAATCCCTACCTACAGTGCCATTGAGAAAATTAAATGAAAGTGTATAGGAAGGATTTTGACATGGTGTTTGGGACTTTGGAACTGTATTTATGACATATTGCACTGTATTTATGACATTGGTGATAATGCTAACAGTGACGAGGAAAGTAATGATACTTAAAAGATTAATTTGAGATCCTGTAAGTCTGAGCTCAGTCACAAGAAACCTTATCAACCTATGATCTAGAACATAATTAGCATGCACCCAGTGAAAACATTACACGCTGGAGAAGGGCCCTTTCTTCCTACGTCAAAAGATGGTGTCTGTCTTCTTTTACAGACCTGCAGTGTGGAATGTCAACAGTATGAATGCAGAACTCAATAGGCTGCCTGGGTGTCAGGAAACTTATTTTCTGACTCTGGTCCTGACACCCCTTTTTGTCAAAGGACTGTGCCCACTTGGGCCTAGACAACAAAGTAACTATGTTGGATATTTTGCAAGTCTGGAAACCCCCCGATTGTGAAAATCAGAAGCAGAAGTGGTAGTAAGCTTAACCATGTGTATGTACACTGGCCAAACTCTGCTTTGTGCCTGCCCTTCAGGCAATAATTCTGCAGTGCCTCTAGGTACCAAGCTCTGTAGCCAAACTACATTGCATTAAAACTGTACTTGGAAAGGAAGGCTAGCTGAAAGATTACATTGCCTTGCAAAGTTGAACTAATCTCTTTTAATGCTTTGCTTGATATCAATATTCATAAAGCCATTGCTTCCCCCCAAGGGTTTATCAACCTCTTAAAAAAAAAGAAAGATAAATGAAGTTGTTTGCATATTGACCCTGTAAGCTTCCCCACTTGGTTTTCCCACTGCTTCATGAATATCAAAGCCAACAAAAAGGAGTAAAATAAAATTAGACTCACTTATTCATATGCAGAAAATGAGCCCAAGTCTCAAAATAAAGGTGGCATTATTATTTCTTGTTTGTTCTCCAACAGAAAGGCATTATTAGGATTAGGGAAAATACTTGTGCCCTGTAATATAAAAGCCATTTATTTTTCATTTCTACTTCTCTGAAGGCATAGGAACCTTGGTACGAACCTCTGTTGTCTCTGACTGTGAAATTTGGATTGTGAATGATTTCAGGGGGTAGACTGAAGATAAATCTTGGTCCATTGGCTGTGTCATCCTTGTCATCTGCACTAATTGTAACAATTGGCTGAAAGAGAAAGGTGGCCCATAAATGAATCATGCTGACATTGGCACATCATTTATTTAAAAAAAAAAAAAAAAGTCTTGGCTGGCTAAGAAGCTCCGTTTTAATTAGAGAACATGGTTTCAGAGCTCGACTAGGGCTCTGAAGCCTTTTGGGGTAGAGGAAAGTATCTCCAGGTGATGCTCTCAAATCCAAACTGTTTCCAAATGCCTTGCATGTAACCAGGGAAGGGGACGCAGCTTTACCTGATTGGAAAGTGGCTTGGTCTGATCGCTCTCACAGATGAAACCTTCATAAGGGGCAGCAAACTTGGGAGCATTGTCGTTGACATCAAGGACCCGGATGGCCACTGGGACTTTGGCTTCCTGATGCCTGTTGTCTGGAAGGAGAGAATTCAGGCAGTCATCGCTTAAGGAGGATTCCATATTAGTCTACGGTTTATTCTTAGAAAGCGAGAGCAAGTTCCAGCACCCCTTGGGGCAGGGCAGGGAAAGGTGTGAGCAACACAAAAGCCATCTGTAACTTCAAGTATCCTGAGTTTGGCACATGGGGGAGGTGCTGAAATAAATGCCAATATTAGACCAGTAAGAACTTTTCCATTTGTGTCAATGCGGAAGCTGCAGTTTATTTCTAAATGCTGATAATGGAGCCCAGCTCACCCAAGCAGCAACAATCTGGGAAGTTGTTGGAAATAAAAATTTGCAGGACCCATCCTGATCTACTGAATACAGAGGCTTTGAGGGTGGGATCGAGAAATCTTTGTCAACCATCCTTCCCAAGGACCTCCTTGGTGGCACAAGGGGTTAAGTCTCAGCCTGTGAAGCTATTCTCAGCCACTACAGCACCAGGAGTTCAATCCCTGGCCAGGGACTTGACCCACATAGCACAGCGGACCTCTTCTGTCTCGCCCACTGCTCCCCTCAGCAGTGTACATCATCGATCTGCCTGCTCTGCTCCCCACTCTGTCTCTGGTGAACCCTGTCACTCCCTGTGTCCTGCATCTCTGAGCCCCAGTTCTTGTATGCATAAATAGGTGAATCTTAAAAAAAAAAAAAAAGAAGAAGAAGAAGAAGCAAGCCCTCCCCAATATTCCCACATCATCAAATCTGATTTATAGGTAAATGAAGACCCACAAATCTTGGCTGCAAAGAGTCTGCTGCTTTGAGTTTAAGCAAAACTAAGTGACAAAGGGGGGAATCCTTCAGCAATGCTTATGAGCTTCTTGTTGCTGAGGGCTATTCACTAGCTTGCTAATACCCAGCCCTGTAAGAGAATGAAAACATCTCTATCTGCCTATATATGTTCCCCCAGATAAATGATCAAAACTAAATTTTAAAGACTGAAAAATATGTTCAAGACTAAAAATGTTATTCTACCTCAGCTGTCTGTCATTTCCCAGAATATACAGTCAGAAGGAATATTTGGTAAAGCAGAACTGAAAGCCTTAGGAGAATACTTACGAATTTCTGCTGCAAAAACTGATATGTTGAGCCAGGCAGTTTCTTCTCTATCCAAAGGTTTTGTAGTTTTAATAAAACCATCCTCTGGATTAATAGTGAAAAATCTGTCGAGGTCAGTGTGACGATCGATCGAATACCTAGGCAGAATGTAAATGAGGCAATTAGACTGAGATATTCTGAGGACCTTAATACTTGAATATTTTTTCCATGCTATATTTAAAGCCACTTTTTTTTTTCAATGAATTGATTGAGCTAGGTTTTCTTTTTAATCAAATTTACTTTTCAAACTTCGTACATGAATCTTTTATTGAAATCATTTTGCCACGTTGCAATACTTTATTCAGTACAATGAATGAAAGAGCAGTTTAGCATATTTGATTGAGAAGAGTAATAGCATGTTGCATATTTCTCCATATTTACTACAATCATCCGCCATCTGAATATTTATGAAAATGCATTTGGGAAGTGGGTTTGTCTTGCTCCCAAACTACTCACAAAGTCACAAATGTATCAAACCTTTGCCAGATTTTTGCATATTTGAAATATTAGTTTCAAGTTTATTTAAATTAATCATCAAGAATCATTTAGGATCCTAAAAAAAAATCAGCTTCCCCTTTATGGAAAGAAAAATGTTAACTATATTTTTAGTAACTGTATTCAATTTATTTATTTGGTTTTAGATGTTCTTGGTTATCTTGGTTCAGAATTCCAAGATGGAATACACACATCAGGATTGGACATTCATTTAGAGGACATTCTCCCCTCCCCTTACCACTGCAGGTTAAGACGAGTTTTCCACTGGAAAATTTGTTTGTTTTATTAAATTGTATATATATTTACATCATTTTTTTCTTTAAATCAGGCCTTTTTTTTTTTAAAGGATTTATTTATGCATGCAAAATTGGGGTACAGACCAGAAGTGCCGGGGTGGTGAGAGGATTCATCAGACAGAGTGGGGGACAGAACAGGCAGGTCAAGGAAGTCCACTGCTGAGCAGGTGGGTCAGGAGGGGTCTGCTGCGCCATGTGGGTCACCTCGGGGTGCGGACCCATCTCACACTAAAGCAGCTATGGCCAGCTTGCAGTGCTGCACTTTAACCCGCTGCACCACCAGGGAGGGCCCCATTCTTCATTTTGACGTAAACCTTCTCCTCTCAGATGTAGTCCCCGTGAAGTTCCCACCACCAGTTAACCCATCACCACTGTCCCTTGTGCTCTTCCCGCCTCAGTTTTGCTCCTACTTCGTCTTCCTCCCCTATAGAATGTCTCCAATTTATAGCTGTCTGTTGATTTTTCTTTTTAATTTATTAAAATTACTTGTTTTCTTTATCCTTTCTTTAGTTCCTCTGTATTCCTCCTCTAAGTGAGCCCATCTGATATTTTCCTTTTTCTTTCTGGCTTATGTCCTGAGCCTAATAACTTCCAGATCCATCTATGTTGCTGCGGATGGAAACTTCAGCCAAAAGAACACACCTGCACTCCTGTTCACGGCAGCACTATTTACCATAGGTAAACTATGGAAACCACAAAAGTGCCCCAAAATAGATGAGTGGATCAAGAAGATGTGGTATACCTACACAGTGGAAAATGTGTGTTATTCTAACAGAGACAAAGTGATTTCCAGAATGTTATTGGAGTGTATTTAGGCTGTGGTGGGAGCTGGGGCGAGCGGCATGGTCTGCATGGAGGTGTAAGGTAATGTGACTGGCCTCCGATGAGGGGGGCGTTGTGAGTCTTAGCTTTATGAACCTGTTCAACTGTAAAACCCCTTTGCTTTTCCTTCTACCACACTAACTACAAAATAAAAAAAAAAAGAGCAAAGATGGTTACTTTAACTCAGGTGGCATACCTGGCTTCATAATTGAGTGTTTTTTTCCTCTTGGGGAGGTTTAGCTGTGATTTCCTGAAGTTTACAAAGTACATCTGCCTGAAGGCATATATCAAGGGTCATAGAACCGAAGGATGTTAGTGGTACTAAAATACGTGGATATTCCGGGCTTAATTTCTTCAATGTACAAATGATGGGCTTTTAAAAAAGATTTATGTATGTATGTATGTATGTATGTATTTATGCATCCAAGAACTGGGGTACAGGCCAGAGGTCTGGGGAAGGTGTGTGTGAGAATTCAGCAGACACAGAGTGGGGAGCAGAACAGGCAGATCTACTGAAATACACTGCTGAGGGGAACAGAGGACAGGTCAGGAGAGGTCTGCCGCACCATGTGGGTCAGCTCCCTGGCTGGGGATTGAACTCATGCTGCAGTGACTGTGGACAGCTTTATAGTGTTGAAACATAACTCCTTGCACCACCAGGGAGGGCCAATAATGGGAATTGTAACTGGTCTATTATCTAATTGCTGGGGGGATCAATATTAGAACCTGGATATCCCATGTTCTTTCTGAGAAATGTGTTTAGAGCAGCATTTCATAGTACAGAACACGTGAATGGATAGATAAATCCCTTTCCCCAGTGCGGAAACAACCCATCACACACCCTTTACAAGTCAGTAGAGGCTCAGTAAATGAACCCTTCTATAGTAGCCTTACATGGAAAGTGAAAGGGGGGGATAGAAGAGTTAGGTGACCTGAAAAGAAAGAGCAGTTAAGGGTGTGGATCTGTAAAGGACTAGGTATGAGTTCATGTCGCACTTCATAAACTGAATAATCCTGGAAAAGCTGCTAAAGTTCTTTCAATCTCAGCTTATTTATCATTCAACATCTGGAATACTAATAGAACCAAATTTTCAGATTATCTATGAGAATTGAATGAAAACACAGATGCTTCAGACACATTAGCTAGCACCTCAGACAGTGTAAGCCCTACAACAAATAGCTGTCCTTCAACGTGTTCTTGCTGTTGTTACAGACTAAGGCTAGACCAGGGAAGCTGTCAGTCAGCAGTGTGACCTTCATCTTATAGCCAGTGAAAGTGCATAGACGGCTTTTGATCAGAGGAACAAATAAATGGGATAAGGGTGATGAATAAGTTCGGGTAGTAAAATGCTCTGAGCAGGGGAGTAAAGGAAGGGGCAGAGGAATCCTGGACTTCATGCAGATTTTAAGGGGTGAGTGATGATGAAGAAATACCAGTAAGACTCAGTGGCTATCTGAATATCTGAATATTCACACTCTTAACTTCTCTTGCATTCCATGTGTCTGGTCATGCCAAGTAGGTGGTAACTAGGTGGCAGAGGAAGAAAAGTCTTCTATTTCAGAAAAGTCTTCTATTTCCTCCACCACCACCACTTTGCACATAAGGCTGTTACACGATGTAACAGCCTCTACTGCCATGTAAAGGTTGTGCAATGGTTTCTATTCCATTTCCTGAAGGTTAGGAGAGTTCCAGAGAGTGGGTAGTCTGCATGCAAGATGACACCAAGCCAAAGCCAACTTAGCAGGAAGGGAGGCTGAAAATCTCCTAGGACTATGCTGCTTTTCATGTTAACAGAGCAAAACTCAAGTCTATTGTCTGTTTCACAGTCAGGGGCACAGTCAGTCTGTTCTTTAAGTGTGTTACAGTAAGTACAAGCTCAAAATATTAAATAACCGAATCAGTGAAAGAAAAAGCAAGTGGGTGAAAATGTACAGCAGACAGCAGAAAAATTGCAGAGTTAGAATCATGGAGAAAGATCAGCCCAGATCTAGAGTATCAAGAGCACTGACTCAGCGTAATCACCGTGTGGGTGAGAACTCCATAGGGGAGTGGACAGAGAAAAGGCTGAAGTCAAAAGGCTGAGACTTCAGCCTTGTGGGAGCCTTCAATGCCTGAACGGCGGTCGAAAAACAGTAAAGGTAGTAGCTGTGGTTTATCTGAGGCATGAAGAGTTACTGCTGAGGAGACTCCTCAGAAGAGAATACTTGAGGATGTTAATGGTGAACCAAATTGGGTGTCTAATGCTATGGAGTCTAAGAAAAAAGATCTGTAAGGCATCCAAGTAGTGAAGAGTGTGGGTGACATTATAAGGTCTTACCCATATGTCCGAAGACAAAAATTCCCTTCAAAGCGAAGATAAGCAATCAGGAGAGTAGGTAGTGTGGATAGGCAGCCCGATGAATAACAAGCTTTGAGTGTTCTATTTGTTTGGCAGTTTTAGGAACAGGGACCCAAGTGGGTGAGGAGGGTTGGTTCAAAGCTGGTAATGAGTAGCTCTGGATAATTATAGACATGGAAATTGCCTACATGCGCAGAGCAGTTGCCATGGAATGCTTGACCCAAATAACCAGCGCAGATGTGGCTCCTTGGGGACAGTGAGGTGCAGAGGAAATGAACCCTGCCCCCCGTGCCTTTACGTCATCACTCCCCTAAAAAGTTACTAATGCACTTTGATATTCTAGGTCAATGATGGCTCATTTAAAATTTGCATCATGAACATTTTTGAGTAGTTTAAAGGTGTTACCATGAGCCCTGGTCACTATGTAAGGTCTTCTGCACTCTAAACACAGTACTTGATCTTTCCCAGGAAATCTGTTTGCTAATGGCTGCCTAGTTAGAGGCAGAAGCTCACAAGGATTCAAAAACTGATCTTGACTAAAATCCAGTCTCCAGCACTGACTGGTCACATGAGGGAGGATTTCATACCATCACTCAGTTTTTCCTTCTATCAGATCCTGAAACAGTCATGCCTCTGAGAATTAAATTATGTCACATGTTGTCTGAGGCTAAGAAAAGGCTCAATAAAGAGTCAATCTCTTCTTTTCCCCCAGAACAGTCAAAGTTCAAAGATTTATATTTTTTAAAGGTTTATTTATTTATACATACAGAAATGGGTCCAGCCAGAGGTGCAGGGGCAGTGAGAGGATTCACCAGAGACAGAATGGGGAGCAGGACAAGCTGACTGACAAAGTACACTGCTGAGGAGAGCAGCAGGCAGGTCAGAACAGGTCTGCTGCGCCATGTGGATCACCTCCAGGGTGGGGATGGAACTAGCACTGAAGCGGCCATGGCTTGGCTTAGCTTCCCAGTGTGGTGCTCAACCCACCCAGGGAGAACCTATTCAAGGATTTAATAAAGGCAAAGGAGGAGTGTTTACACTTCTGACTTCCTTCTGTCCTGCCCTGTGGATATTGGAGAAAAACTCTAATATCTACAGTAAAATTTTCATATTCAGAGTCATTTATTCTTCTTCCCTCTCTGCTTATTGAGGTGTGGTTGATAAACACACACTGGTATATATTTAATGTGTGCAGATGGTGCTGTGATATAGGTATAGCAAAGTACTGATTGCCACGACCCAGCTAATCAACATAGCCATCACCTCATGTAGCTATTAACTGTGTAATGTGTGCATGTGATTTGAACTCTTGATCGGCTCTCTTACCAAATTTCAAGAACATGATACATTATTATTAACTACACTTATCATGGAGTGTGTTAGCTTGCTAGAACTCACTCATCTTACTGCTGAACGTTGTGCTCTGTAACCAACATCCATTTTCCCAGCTATCCCCCAGTCCACCACTATTCTTCACTCTATTTCTTGAAGCTTGACCTTTTCATTTTTAAGGATTTATTTATTTTTGCACATAAGAGCTGGCATATAAGCCAGAGGTACAGAGGATGAGGGGATTCACCAGGGACAGAGCAAGAAGCAGAATAGGCAGATTGACTAAAATAGAATGCTAAGGGGAGCAGCAGATGGGACAGGGGAGGTCTGCTATGCCATATGTGTCACCTCCCTGGGTGGGGGATCGAACTCAGGCTGCAGCGGTGATTGCATGATAGTGTTTAGACTTAACTCCATGCCACCAGGGAGGCCCCCTGTCAATGAACTGAGGGTGCAACATGAGTCTCCTCTTTAGCCTCTTTCTCAGGAACTGCTGGTCTTCGTCACCTGCCTGTGAGTCATTAACTAACTCAGAGGGGCAGACAGTTCTGAATCACTGTTCAAACTTGCTTTCCTAAGTCACAAAATTATATTCTTAATATTCTTAGTAATCAACTCCCCCTACATCTGTCTGTGCTGAACAGCAGTGAGACAGTGAGCAGTGAGTGACTTTGCTGGCCCCCTGCTCACTGGCTGTGGCTTTTGGCAAGGCAGTTCCCTGAAAAAACCTGTTTCCTCTTCACTTAAGGCATAATACTATAAAATAAGCTGAGGGGATTGATTAGATAATATGTCAAACCTACCTAGTAGAGTAACAAGAGCATCAGAGGTGTCCAATACCTTATAATACCGTAACAACCTCACAATCATTTTTTTTTTTTAGATTATTTATTTGTGCATACACGAGACTCAGGGGTGGCGAGAGGCTTCACCAGAGACAGAGTGGGGAGCAGAACAGGCAGATCGACGAAGTCCACTGCTGAGAGGAGCAGTGGGCGGGTCAGGAGAGGTCTGCCACACCATGTGGTCACCTCCGGGGCAGGCGGGAATCGAACTCATGCAGAAGTGGCTTTAGTTTCTCAGTGCTGTGCTTTAACCCGCTGCGCCACCAGGGAGAGCCACAATCATTTTTTTAATGCTTCCCCACAGTTCCCTGAGGCAGACAGGTCCAGCTTACAGTGACAGCACCTATAACACACTGGGAAGTCAGCTCCAGAGAGAAATGATGGCACATGAGCAAGGCTATCCAAAAACCCAGGAGCAGAGATGGAGAGTAACCCATCTCTTTGGGATCTTAATCTTGCACTGAACCTGATCATCTTGGAACCTTTTTGTAACTGCAGGATGTGTTTCCTGCAACAGTTCCCAAAAACCAATGACCTCCAAAATTTCCCAACCAGACTTTTAAATTAAACCGTCTGTACCTTATCGGGCTGTTGGCAGCGTCAGGGTCTTTGGCATGTACTCTTCCAACTACAGTGCCAGCAGCTGCATTTTCTTGCACTTCATGGATATAACTTGGGGCCAAGAACATGGGGGGCTCGTCAGCATCTTCTACTGCGATCTTGACCGTCACCGTGTCCTTGAAAGGACCATTGCTGATGAACTTCGGGTCGATGTGTACATTGGCTGCTTCCACCTTCAAGCTGTATGCTCTTTTGGTTTCAAAATCTACGGGCTGGCAAGAAGGAAGAGAAGATTGACAACCGATTCCTTGAAAGAATAATGGGAGAGAAAGACCAGATTGTTTTATAGGGCAGAGAGAATAGTTCCTCAAAGAGAGAAAATCAGTGTCAACTCAATATCCAATTACCTGAGCCATTTGGTCAGAAAATCAGACAAATCAATTGGGGAAACTTGGGACGTACTTAACTGGATAGTTCAAAGAGCATGACAGACACAGAAGGCCCATATCATCTAAAATGAACCTCTCTCAGTATAATAATAATACCAGGGCGGCCCAAATCAGCCACTAATACTCATCTAAGGAAAGGAATTAAAATTTTACACAAATAAGTGTTGTAGTCTGTTCTAGAAAGTACTCAGAATCTTGGTGATAAATATACCCACTGGACTTTAGCTGAAAACCAAAGTTCTGTCTTGTGAAACGATGACAGCCTTCCACACATATGGACATCTGCCTGACCACACTGACAGTCTCATTTATTATTTAAAGATTTATTTATTTATGCACACAGAACTGAGGTACAGGCCAGAGGTGCAGGGGGGTGAGAGGATTCACCAGAGACACAGTGGGGAGCAGAAAAGGCAGATCGTCCAGGTACACTGCTGAGGGGAGCAGCGGGCGGGTCAGGAGAGGTCTGCGGCGCCATGTGGATCACCTCTGGGGCAAGTGGGGATCAAACTCATACGGAAGTGGCTTTAGTTTCTTAGTGCTGTGCTTTAACCTGCTGCGCCACCAGGGAGGGCCCGACGGTCTCATTTTTTACATGTAGCATTTCTTAAAGCTGGGGATCCTTCAGTGGGAACCCATAAGATGACCAAAGATGGCTTATGGTAGGTCCATATGTTGAAAGATATCAAATTAATTTACTGTCACAATGATCCTTTTTCCAATTTTTTTTTTACTTCTGAATGTGTCTAAGACAACATCTCAGTAGAAAGCTAATTTTTAACCAATCTGTTGTTCTTCATAATCTCCCTTTTTAGGAACCACGATACCACTCTGTAGTTAGAATGTATGGTTTTGCTGGGATTGCATTCATTTTCAGTCTACCTTCTATTTATGGCAAGAGATAGGACAATAAGAAAAATGCTTCCTCTAAAAAGTATGCATTTAGTAAAAAAAGCACACTTTAAAAAAAAAGAATTATAAGTTTTACATGGGTATGAAAAGATGGAACAGTAGTATTTGAATGGCTGCAGTTATAGGGAAACTAATTGAATGCATTTCCTAGTTCTTAATGAGAGGAGGTATAGTGATCAGTCAGCATTGTAGGAAAAAAAAAAAAAAAAAGTCCTCAGGAGGAGGAAGCAGAATTTTCTAATTAGTATTCTAGATGATGCTGAACTACCAAAGGTGTTCACAGAATTGGGTTCTTTAAGGCAAGCATGTGTCTGCTGGATGTTGCCTGTCAAACACTTGGCTTAAATGGACACATAAATAAAGACTTAGTCCAGACCTACTTGTAGGAAACCCCAGACTAAGGATGATTTGCATTTCAGAAAAGTTAAGCACATTCAATATCTTTGTGACTTTTCCATTAACATCCTACCCAAATTTCTCCAGAGTCAGGGAACTCTCCTGTCACTTGAAGTGAAAGCTGACCTCAGTTGTTCCATCAATCTAGGGTTCTGCAGCTGAAATCTGGTGCTGGCTTCTGAGCACCAGACAGTACAGGCTGGAGGTATGAGACTACTGAAAATTTTCAAAAATCTCTATCAATACAAGACAAAATTAAAAAACAAACAAACAAAAACTGTAATATAATGCTGCTACCGGATAGGTAGATATTTTCTAATCTCAGATGTCCTGTTGGTCTGTTGATGCTCCTAGATCAGAGCCTTCTGACACTGGCTTAGCCAGAAGTCAAAGGATTCATGGTCATGTCCCCACCCAAAAGCCCTGATGGTCCTTAGGCAAACATACTACTGTTTGATCCTTTCAAATCCTGGGCAGAAATCTCCAGATCTTTGCAGAAGTTCATCTGGAATGGCCTTCCCTAACTTCGTGATATTTCATCAGGGCTTCTGGCCATCAGCCCTAGTCTTACTGCTTTACAGAATCCTCCTCAACTTCCCAAAATGGATCTGTGTGGTCCCTTAGCTGCTCTTCTGCAGCCCTCCAGCTCCTAGCCCAGCAGGTGGGACACAGCCCCAGGACTCTGCTGGTCTCATTGCTCTTAGATGATCTTTGCTTCCCTTATGGCCAAGAATTACCAGAGCAGGTGATCATATGCTCCCATCATTTTGACTGAATGGGAAGCAGGGTTGCTGGATGGAGAATATTTAAGCATTACCTACAATTTACTTTCTGCCTCCTTTGAACAACAACAAAAAATAATGAAGATTTAAGGTAGTTTCCCATGAGAACATTTATATACATCCAATGAGTAGCTGAAATAAAGCTAAATGAGGCAACACACTACATAAGCTGTAAAACTCATAATACCCCCTGGTTTACTAATCCCACCTCTGAAAATTCTCCCTAAGGGGTTCATTCAACAGGAAGCGAAAACATTGTCCAAAACGCATGATGTTTGTTGATATAAAAGAGGGCTATATCTAAATCAGGAGGAACACCAAATCCAACTGTGAGGTTTTATTAAGGAAATAACGGTCCATCAATAGGACGGGGTGTTATGTTGTCATTAAAAATGATTATGGACATTATATAACAGCATGTAAAATGTTTATGTTGTGACATTAAGTTAACAAATCACCCTGTGATAGCAACTATGTTAGATGTTCTACACCCCCATGCATACACATGTGAACAATGTAAAGAAAGAATCAAACATAAAAGTAGTTTTACTAAGATCGTGAATATGTGAAATGTCTTCTAATATTGCTCTCACAGGGCTTTACAAGAAGTTTACTTGGCTGAAAATAAATAGCTCAAGGCCTCCCTGGTGGCAGAAGAGTTAAGTCTCAATACGATGAAGCTGTCAGCAGCCACTGCAGCATGAGTTCGATCCCCCACCAGGGAGCTGACCCACATGTCATAGCAGACCTCTCCTGTCCCACCTGCTGCTCCCCTCAGCAGTGTATTTCAGTGGACCTGCCTGTTCTGCTCCCCACTCTGTGTCTAGTGAATCCTCTCTCCTCCCCACACCTGTGGCCCTCTTGTATGCATAAATAAATAAATTAAAAAAAATAAAAAGAAAATCAATCGCCCAGACGCTGCGTCGACATTCCTCATGGTAAATGTGAGCCCCACTTGAGAAAGATGTTGCAGAGAGCACAGGGATTTTCTTCCCACATCTACCAAACCACCTCCAGCCTCAATTTATTCTGCTTCAGCTAATCCCAGGGACTGCCTACCCATCCGGAGGGCAGACTCACTCTCTCCACACACCTGCACACCACTGGCTGTGCATCTTAGAACATCAGCACTCAAGAATGTGTATTTTTCTTAAGCTGTCAGCAAGAGACGGGCTATCTCCTAGTCATCTCTTGGATTCTTCACTGTCACCTCTTCTGCTGCATTCAGTTCTTTTTAATTTCTCCAACAACTGTTTTTCGAATGGTTCCACAACATAGCTGGGAAAGCCCTCACAACTGAAGTCCAGTTTCTGAAAGGTGCTGTGGCCATCCATCTCAGCCCTCGGGAGCTCTTTGCCCTGCCCAGCCTTCCCTCACCTGCCTGGCAAACCCGGTACATTTATCAAGTCAGCTCACTAATCTCTCCCGCAAGAAGTCATTCATGACCCATATTTTTATATTTTATCATATTTAATAACAGTTGATTCTCAAGCGGGGAGTCAGTCGGCTCTACCTTATCCTGGGCATAGTAGGCAGTGTCTACAGATCATTTTTTAAGATTTATTTTATTTATTTATGCATATAATAATGAAGGAACGGGCCAAGGGTACACTGGGGGTATGTGAGAGGATTCACCAAAGGCAGAATGGGGAGCAGAACAGGCAGATTGACTAAAATACACTGCTGAGGAGCAGCAGATGGGTCAGGAGAGGTCTGCTGCACCATGTGGGTCAGCTCGTTGCCAGGGATCGGACTCAGGCTGCAGTGGCTGCACAGAGCTTCATAGTGCTGAGACTTTAATCCCTGCACCACCAGGGAGGTCCTGATCATTTAAATTTTTTTTTTTAATATCCGAACTGGTGGGATGGAATAGAGCGTGTGTCTACTAGCATACGGTATGACGAGGCCAGGATGTTGGTAACCTACAAAGCATGGACTGCTCAGATCAGCACCCCCAATGGCAAGGGATGATCTTCTCTGAAATGTGAATAGAGCTGAGGTTGAGAAAACCCATTTTACTTTAATTGTCTTTTCATTTGACTGTCCTGTTAAGTTGTGATCTCCCCAAGATCAGGCCTTGGTCTCTTCATCTAGATATGTCCAATCTCTCCAAAGGGCAGGCTTGATACAAAAATAAGACCTCAATTACATTTGATGGGGAAAAAGGATCGTGAATCACAAAATAAGTTGAAAATACTATATTAAAAATATTTTTGAGGCAAAAATATTGACATTTTCTTCCCATACCCTTTTCTAAAATTGAATGATTAACCAATAAAAAAATGAAAAGGACTTCCATAAGGTTTCATCTCTTTATTCTGTTCTATTTACCTCTCAAAATCTTTTTCCCAGTGGGCATTTGGAACTTTGTGCTATAAGTTTAAGCAAACGTTCCTAGACAAATGAAATGACATCTAGCTCTGTTTTAAACCTAAATGTCACTGCTTTATAGAAGATTATTCCTTTGCCTGGAATAAACACATTGAATTGGGAGAAAATGTGCAAATTAATCATATGCAGAGAGCTCATTTACGATGTGTGAGCTCCATGGGGTGATTTAAATATTTCAGGATTTTAGAGACACAGTGTGTGTTTATGCCCTGAGTACACTGCAAACAGGTGACAACATTAGCATATAACCAACTACCCAGTTACTTGAACAGCAAAGGATGGGAGGCAGGAATTGCTGATGTCAATGCCCATATGTCAATGTCAAGCAAGAGGGATAGTAATACTAATTAATGAGCTAAGTTGACAGCTTTATGCCACACGGAATTCACACAGCTACTTTTCTAGAGGAAACTCCATCCCAGTGGCTGATTAGATCTCTTTGACCACAGCACTTATCATGCTAATGTTGACTTTTCCAGGTACCCAAAGTTCACCCTAACTTGCAGATCCTTTTAAGACAGTTCACTCCAGGGCCCTCCCTGGTGGTGCAGCGGGTTGAAGCACAGCACTAACAAGCTAAAGCCACTTCAGCATGAGTTGGATCCTGGCCCCGGAGGTGACCCACATGGCACAGCAGACCTCTTCTGACCCGCCCGCTGCTCCCCTCAGCAGTGTACTTCATCTATCTGCCTGTTCTGCTCCCTGCTCTATCTCTGGTGATTCTATCACCACCTCTGCACCTCTGACCTATCTCCCAGTTCTGTATGCATAAATAAATATTAAAAAAAAAAAGACAGTAACCCACCTTTTCAACTTTTCTCTTTTCTATGTCCCGTCACACTTCTCCTAAGCCCAATGCTTTCAAATGTGGCAAAATTAAAATCAGCTTCCAGAACACTTCTCTCCTTATGCCTCTTACTGAAAAATTCCTCCCAGCAATCTTCCCCCTAACCCATCCTTGTCTCCTCTCCAAACTGGCCTCTTTATTGATTTTTTGCATTAATTTTTTATCAGGGTTGCAGCCCAATCTTTTCCATCAGGCCAAGGAACTTAATATTCATGCTACAAAACCAAGTTGAAAATGAATGCTTGATTAAAACCAAGGTAATCCCATCATCCAATTCAGATTTCATGCTCCAAACACTTTGATGATGGAGAGGTGTTGATTTCTTAAGTGTTAAGTCTTGAGGGTAGGAAATAGTTTTAGAATATACTATAACTTTCTTCAGTTGAAAGTGAGTCCCCTCTGGCCTTCCCTGGTGGTGCAGGGGGTAAAAACACAGCACTGTGAAGTGAGCCACAGCCACTACAGCTGAGTTTGATCCAGCCAGCACCCCCGGAGCTGACCCACATGGCGCGGCAGACCTCTCCTGTCTCCCCGCTGCTCCCCTCAGCAGTGTACTTCATCTATCTGCCTGTTCTGCCCCCCACTCTGTCTCTGATGAAGCCTCTCACTGCCCCTGCACCTCTGGCCTGTACCCCAGTTCTGTATGCATAAATAAAGAAATCTTTTTTTTTTTTTTTAAAGTGAATCCTCTCTACATGTCCTTTATAATCCCTTTCTGGTTTATCAGATTCTACAGTGTCTTGAAAGGAAAGCTGTTCCTGAGCAGGCTAGGTATGAATTCCATGTCTGTGAATTATTGGCTGTGTGGCTACAACTCAGATTATTTTTGTCTCTCTCTGCTCCATTTTCCTCATAAAGTAAGGAACCACTGCCTCTTGAGATACTGCTGTCCACTTTATATGCTGTTTTTTTTCTTTTGGTTAAAATAAATGAATATTTGTAAAAGGCTCAGGCTTTGACTCACCAATAGTTCGTATTGAGTAAATGTTAGATTTTAAGGAAAAACAATAAACTATTGGTAGTATATTAATCCCAAGGACCTATATGTACTTTTTCTTTCTTTCTTTTCATAGCTGCAGTCTAACTATGGAGAAAGGTACAATGTTACTGTTTCTCAGATTCCATTTTGAGAGCAAATTAAGCACAGTTTGGTTCGAGTTTCATGGCAGGCCAACAACGTGGATTGTGGATGGTTGCGGCAGGAAGCATTCTCAACAGCCTAGAAGAACAGATTGAGCTTGGTAGTGCTAATGGTGAATTCCATGCATGATTGGGCTGTTTTTCCCACATCTAGATTTAGCTTACTATCGTCCCTTCCACAAAAAGATGGTGTCAAATCACACAAGAACTCACTGGCAATCTTAGGTAGGCGTCCTCACCCCCTTTTGTCACCTCCTTCAGACAACAGTTGTTATCTCCCTGGAGCTGAGTTCCACAGCAAAGCCAGTGGCCCATATTCTCATTTCTTTTATATATATATACACATACACAAACATATGTGTGGATGTGTGTGTGTGTATATTTATGTATATAATATATATGTATGTATATAATATATATGTATGTATGTATGTATATTGTATGCATGTATATATATGTATGTTTGTACACACACATTATTTATTTATATATACATTTTACAACATTGTTCATTTTTGTACAATGTATGCTTTCTCTTCTCTAAGCGGTGGATTCTGCTTGGAATCCCTACCAATTCACCCCTGCACCAACTCCATAGTCCCTTGTGCCCTCCCCACCCTCATTCTGATCCCTCTTCTTCCCCTCCCCTGCAGAATGTCTCTGATTTATAGTTGTCTGATTTTTTTTTTTGCATTTTCCTTAATCTTCTATATCCTTACCATATTCTCATTTTTAACACACACACATAACATATACATGTATATATAAATATATATATATATATACATTAAAACATATACACACATATGTGTATATGTGTGTGTGTGTGTGTGTATTACATCATTCTTCATTCTGTGCATGTTTTCATCTCCTTTGTAATCCCTGTGGACTTTCCACCCACTGTGTCTCACTTCTTAGCTTTCTACTCCTTTTTTTGGCTCCACACTGCCCTGGGAGCAGGCTGTACTGACAGTCTGATTCCTCACCCTAACTCACCTTTTTCAGCTTCACCACGCCCTCCTGTGTTTCATAGTCCGTTGTGATTTCAAAGAGCTCCATACCATCTCCATCAACAATATTGTAGGTGACTAGACCGTTTTCTCCAATGTCTGGGTCTTTAGCCTTCACTCTTCCTACTTCCTCCCCAGGGACAGCTGCTTCTGACACAGACATCTGGTATACGCCTGCAAGAAGGAGACATCTAATTTTATTTTCTCTTCTATTTGGCAGCTGTATGACTTGAGATTTCACTGAATCCCAATAAATTTCTCAAAGGGTTTGAAATGGAACTTTCTATCGATAGAAAACTTGAAATAAGTGAATGGATGGGGGAAGACCCCATGTGACCTGCCTATAAAGAAATGCATTCTCCAAAAGAGGATGCAACAATATTGGGGCCCAGGGTGATACGGTAGGGACACCTCCCAAGGGTTACAAAGGAAATCAGGGTTCAGTTACATTTCCCATCAGGGAATGATAGAGGACATTCAAATAGCCAAAACTTTCAGGTCTTTGGGATAGCCCATGCATTAATTCTAAGGCTCACAGATGGCACTACCAGTGGCCAGAATAAAAGCCTTCCACATCTCCATATTTATTTTAAAATTAAACACAAATTTTATCCTTCAAGGACCTTTTCACTCTATATTTGATTCTTTTTACTTTACTTCTTCAGTCAGACAAGGACAGCCTTAACAGAAAGGTTTCCCTCAATATGGCTCTTTTGTAAATATTTACTTCATAGTTATGGGCACCCTAATATAGAACAAGTCCTGTCCTAGCCCCTGGAGACTCATTGGTAAATGAAACCATCTACAGTCCTCTCTTAATGAAGAACACTAAAGAAAAAGACCCCAAATGTATACACACTCTGATGTCACTGCCGCAAAGAAGAAAAATGCATTAGAGTAAGAAGTAGAGGGTGAGGACATAGCAAGTGTGTGAGTGTGTGTGATGTTCTGTGTCAGAATGGGTGCCCGAGCGTGTGTTGTGGTGTGGTATGAGTCTGTGTACATGTGTGTACAGGAATGTGTGAGAAGCATCTTTGGCATGGACAGGAGTATGAGTGTGTGTGAATGTGCAAACTTGTGTTAACTATATGTTTGAAAAGGACAAAGAGAAAGAGTGAGAGTGAGCGAGAGAGAGAAAGTCCAGCTGGGTGAAGAAGAAAAAGATTTAGTGGAAAGCCTAGAATGGTTTCAGTAGTAAAGTGAGATTGGACATGATCTGATTAGCATGTTCACATTTTCAGAATATTCTGTGTGAAACAATGTGGACACATAAAGGGTGGAGTCCTTGCCTCCCAGGCTGATTGTCTTCAGCAAGTTACTTCATCTCTTTTAGTCCCCTGATGCAGGTTTTACCAGTTTCTATTTTCAGTCTTTATTTATCAATATTATTTGGCTTCCGATACTTTCAGTTGGACCTATCGTCACTTTAATTACACCATATCATCCATACTGAAGGACAGTTGGGAGGTAGGACTCGCCAGATAATTATCCATTTAAATGGAGTTTTAGATAAAGCTGCTCTGAGGTGGTTTTCTCTAAATGTCATTCAAGTTCATGGCTACGGAACTGGTGTCTGCATAGTGGTGATGTAACTTCACTATAGGATATGTGTGAGTGAGGGCACTAATGGCTGTCTGATAGTAATTCTGCTTGGCCTTTTCCTTCTGGCACAGCAGAACATTTTACAGTGTAGATAATGAAGCATGCCGTTTTTTAAAGTACTATATGAGTCTTAAGCTTATTGGGGATACTAAACCCTGTGCCTCACTAGGTAGAGCAGTTTTTCTTTATCTCCTTTGGGGGTACCCTGTGAAAACTGGATGTTTCCTTTCAATCCTCTACCTACGTCCTCTTTGCATTGCTTGCTGCCTTTGGGTTACTTAAAGTGACCATAATTCCTTTCTCAGGCCATAATAGTTTGCTTCTTTATTCCCTCATTTTCAAAAAGTTCTGTTTCTCTGGCAATAAACTCATAAGCTCTACCAGCTACTCTCCAAATATTTTTTAAAGACTTATTTATTTATGCACACAAGAGCTGGGGTAAAGGCCAGAGGTTCTGTGATTGAGAGGCTTCACCAGAAACAGAGTGGGGAGCAGAACAGGTGGATCTACTGAAATACACTGCTGATGGGAGCAATGGGCAGGTCAGGAGAGGTTTGCTGTACCAAATGATCACCTCCCTGGTCATGCTGCAGTAGCAGTGGATAGCTTCATAGGGTTGTGCTTTAATTCATCGTGCCACCAGGGAGGGCCCTACTCCCCAAATTTAATGGAGAAGGGACTTTCATGATGAGTGACCAGTACCAGCAGCACCACCAGCATCACTGCATGTGTCTGTACGTACACATACATATTTGCATTCAAATGCTGGCTTTGCAACATTCTTGGGGCCACTTGTTACGCCTTTCATGGAACCCAGTTTTATCTGCAAAATTAAGCTCTTATAGAGATCTGTAACAGGAGTGATGATTCATTAAATGACAGTAGTTGTGATTATGATTATTGATAACAACCATCCAAGATCTTTTTTTTTTCTTTTACTTCCTTCAGCAACCCTATGAGTTTTATAGAAGGACCATAATCCTGCACATAGTAAAGGCTAACATTTGTTGACAACTTATCTCGTGTCACTAAGAACTTACAATGGCTCATTAAAGTCTAATGGCATCCCATTAATTAAGTCCAATAGAAGATGGCATTTTCCCAAAATGGCCAAAATGATACTTTTCATCCCACACATTTTCCCTGCAGTGCGATTTGGTGTGGCTTCCACTGAAACGTGGGTCTATCAGAAGTTCACTTAGGTTTGGACAGTCTTGTGACAGTGGTGGAAAAGTTGCTATGTGGTTTCCTTAGGCAGTACAGTTTCTGCTTGTTGTTCCTGGGACTCCTGACTTCAGAACTTATGCAGGCGCCTCTGTGAAGAGCCCCCCCACAGAGAGGACCCAGCAGTCAGCACCAGTGCGCCATATTGAAATTGCATCCCTCAGTCCCTATCAAGCTGTCTACCCTCGGTGCAAAGGAAATGGAAATGAGCTGTTTTGCCCAAAGTGTAGGCTCATGACTAAACTAAAAACACATTGTTGTTTTAAACCACAAGGTTTGTGAAAGTTTGTTACAAAGTTGATAACTGATTCAGGTGTACTATTATAAACAGGTTAGAAATGAGAACACTGAGGCAGAGAAATGTTAATTTATTCCTAGATAGCATCACTGGGATCTAGCTAACTGCCACAAAATATATGTTCTGGTTCTAACAACATAGAAATTTTTACATATCCTTTCTCCTACTAGCTCTACTCCACCTTCAGCTCCTGTGAGTGTTATTTGCCTTGGTTCTCATAAGTTGCCGATGGATATAAAAATCTCTACTTTTCTACATTTACTCTTGAAAGTTGGGTTAGAGAAGACAGAGCTGATCGTGGCACCAGTGAAAAGTGAAAGCCAAGCCCACCTACTTACTCTGTGGAAACTTTGGTGGATTGTCATTGACATCGGTCAGTGTGATCGTCACTTTGGTTGTCCCTGAGAGTCCACCCATGTGCCCTCCCATGTCCTTGGCCTGGATCACCACGTGGTACTCCTCCTTGGCTTCCCTGTCCATGTTGGGAAGGGCTGTTCTGATGATACCTGGGCAGGTGAACAGGAAATCACACATACTCATTTATTAAAAAACAAAACAAAACAGGTTTGAGACACTCGCAAAGCAAAAATGAATACGATAGCACCTGCCTTGAGCCACTTCAACATAATTAATTTCAAAGCAGCTATCCCTGGACCATCCATGCAGCAAATCACTACTACCGCATTCCAATTGTATCTATTTTAAATATTGCTCTGAAATTAAAGTAGCCTCATTATCCTCGGATAACACCCTTAAGGAACTGAAGACCTTGGTATTTGAGGGTGTCCATGACTGAACCCATGCTTGTGGACAGTAGGCAAAGCCTTTTAGAAGTCAATCTCTTCATGTGGTTCTTGGAAACATTCCTATGGTTCACATTAAGTTAAAAGTAGTAAGAGACCTATATTTCATGCATATGTTGATATTCTAAATTCTCAAGAATAAACCGAGTGGATCCACCATACACACAATTATCTAATTTCACCTAACCACATTAATAAAATTTATGATTGAACGCTACACGATCCATAAATATTGGCATGCGATTTGTATGAAAACCATGTTCATTTGAATCTCTTGCAAACAGGGCTTCCCTAGTGGCCTAGGGGTTAATTTCATTGTTACTGCCCAATTGTCCAACTCAAGGGCCTGAGTTCGTGCCCCAGCCAGGGAGGTAACCCACAGGGCGCAGCAGAACTCTCCTATCACCCCAGTTTTTCTATACCAAACAAACAATATATATATATGTATATATATATACACACATATATATATTTTAAAAAATCTTGTAAACATGCACAAGCTTTTGCTTTCCATTGATATGGTAACATTTACATTGGAAACATAAAGAAAAACAGTGGGGACCTTAAACCTTTGCTTTTCTCTTCCTCTCTATGTTTATGTGTTTCTCACCAATACCCTTGAACTCAACTGGGCCTTTTTTTTTTTTTTCTGTTAAAGACCTTTGTGGGTTTAAATCAGTGATTCCTAAATCTGAGATAGAAGGTTGCAATTTCACCAGTTTGAACATCTTAAAAGTTGAGGTAAAGTCCCATTATTTATCTTTAGTTAATCTGGATAAACCCAATGGCAAACACTTTTGATGAAATCAGAGCAAGCGGATCCATAACTTGCATTCTGAAGCAAAATAGATACAAATAAATGATAACCTAGGTAACTAGAAATTATATACAGCTTATCAATGATCAGAATGTCTGATTGGCGGGTTGTCTAAAAAATCGATAACATTTAATTATTACAGTGTTGGGGATTATTTACAAACATCTTTAAGAGATGGGTTATATTGTAGGAAAAAAAGTTGTTTTGTGATAAGGTTCTATGAAATAGCAACTTTATGGGATTTCAGCGAATCATATTTGTGATAAATGAAATGAAACATCTGGGTTTCGATCGGCTATTGCATCTGTTACCCCTCTGGTTTGCGACTTGTTTTCTTTGTGGCTGTGAATCCCCACTGGGAATGTATGAGCTCAGGGAAGACTGGGGACGTGCTGTCTCCCGAGCACCCCTGAATATTCACACCTGCTTCCACCACCTGTCCAGTGCACTGCAAAGCTTTGAGAGATGCTGCTTTTAACATCAGCCTTCAAGCTCTATGACCTCTTAATTTGGATCCACAGTTGAGTTTTAAGATGCAATTTTAAGATACACCTTTTATTTTATTTTATTTTATTTTATTTTATTTTATTTTAAATTTATTTATTTGTACATACAGAACTGGGGTACAGGCCAGAGGCTCAAGGGTGGTGAGAGGCTTCACCAGAGACAGAGTGGAGAACAGAACAGGCAGATCAACGAAGTACACTGCTGAGGGGAGCAGCGGGCGGGTCAGGAGAGGTCTGC